CAGCAAGAGAAAAGTAAACATCCCTATTCCATACAGCCCCATCACAACATGATTTGAATACAAAATGTCTCTTCCAAAGTGGTCAGCCTTGCATCCTCCCATCCCTATCAAGGCTGCAGGTGCAACAGTTTGGGAAAGCCAGGGGTGTTGAATGGGAGGGAAGATGACTGATCAGGAGAAAAAAAAAAATACAGAAACAAAGACAAAATGCAGGTTTCAGCATGCTCTTCTGCTGTCAATAAGGAGGTCTGATATGGGCGAGAGATTACAACCTCTTAAAGTCTCAGCTCTGGGTACTCAGGCACAACATGAGCCAAGCATGAAAGCACAACCACCATATATTTCTGAAGAGGACTCTAGTGTGGTAAGAGCTCGTCCAAGCTCAGATTAAATGCTCTAAGTCTTTCTGGGCCATGTTTCACAGGTGTATGCATGATCAAGCTCCATCCCACCATAACGCCATCTCAGAGCAGTCTGGCTTGCTAATAAATGCTAGTGAACAGAGAGGATCCCAAGATACAATATCCCAAGATCCAACAAAAGCTCAGTATGGTGTAAGCATTCATGGGATGAAAACTGAAATGATCACCATTTGGGGTCTGACACTCCACATTCCAGCTAGTGGATGCCGAATATTTAACAGACTGAAATCAAGTGCCCCTCTCAAATAGAGAGGTAGATAAGCCAAAATATTCAGAAAGGAAAAAGGACAAAACCAAATAAGTTCTCTTCTGGAATTAGACGATTTCATCTTTAACGGTTATGTTTGATTCCAAGAAGAGAAATGTTTTTGAAGCTTAACAATCTCACACAACTTTTTGAGCATTTACAAATGCCCAAAACATCGCCAAAGAACTGACAATTATTTGCCCAGTACTGCATGGAAAAGAACAAAGCTAACAATACAAAAGCCCCTTATTCAGGTCACACCTCTGTCATATGCCTTTTCTCCTCCAAGATACTGAACACAGTGCTGCCTAGAGATGAATATCACTTAAAATGTCATATTAATCAGGGTTTTATAAATCACCCAAATCCCATGGCAACATTCAGATGTCTTCTAGTGAATGTCCCTGAAAGGAAAAATGGTTTCAGGGTCATTCCAAGCACGTAACCAAAGAAAGAGCTAAGAGCAGAAACAAAGAAGAAAATAAGGAAACTAAGAAAGAAGCAAGAGAAAATAAAGAAAATAAGTTCCCTAATTTTAAAACATTTAAGATTGATAGTCTTTTTTAACAGATTCACAGTGTGCAAATGATCAAACTTGCAACAAATAGACACATTGCTCCTGAATAATAGGCAGTTGTGTTCAGTGGTGCAAACCAGGTATCTCAGTGTAGCAGTGACTTTAACACACCTGAAATACCTCCACATAACCCAAAATCAATCAATCAATCACAGACTTGCATAAGTGAAAGAGAATTCAAAAGATTTTCAAGCCTAATCCACAGAAAATGCAACTGTACCTTGTTTCATCAAAGTTTCATCTAATTCAGCACTGTCTCAAATAGTCTTTAATAGCAAATAGCTAGGGAACAAGTTTAGGACTAGACAAATATGTAACAATACATCACTGGAAGATACAACTTCCTAAACTCCAGCAGTGTGTGACTCAAAGACTTTCCTGACCAAAGAATACTTCCCATATTTCTTAACAATTTTTCACTTCATTCATTTGCCCAGTAATTCCCTTTAAGTTTACACATCATGAAAACAATGGAGCACAAGAAGAACAGTAAAAAAAATGTCTCTTCCTGCTCCAGTCCAATATGCTCCAGCCTTCTTCATTCCCTCCTCTTCTAGTGCAATGAGCCCTAGCCCAAGTAAACTTCCTTGCAGAGAAACTCTTTCACAACTTGGGTCACCATCCCTTCTCCTCGCTGTCACCATCACTTCTCCTATCTTTGCAGCTAAACCACATTTATTTTTTGAGTTATGACTTGGACCAGAACTGCACAAAACATTCCAGGAATGGATGGGAATACTTCAAGTTTTGCTTTTGTCTGCTTTCCTAACAATTCTGAGAATTCAGTTTAGTATTTCTGACCAGTGACATTTCCACAGAACCACTGTTATAAACCCAAGAGTTTATCCATGTGCCATGGCAGATCAGAACAGATGTAAAACTATGATTCTGCCTTCAGATGATGCACTTTGTTATATTTATCTTCGTGTAACTTAGTCTGACATTTTACTACTTCACCAGTTAATACAAGGACCTGCAACAATCCTTTTCTGCTGTTCTTTCCAAGAGCAGCCATACACATGCTGAGCAGCAGCATGGGCCATGGGGCTCCACAGGTGGCCACCTCCACAAATCCAGCACAGCTACCTCCTCTCTGCTTCCTGCTCTGCTGTTTGCTCAAGGCTGAGAGGAGAGCCAGCCACATGGGCGGTTTATTTTTGTTGAGAACCTTTTCAGGGACTTTATCAAATGCCATTTGTAAATGCAATTAAATGACATCAATTCAACCTGCCTTGCCCAGATGCTCACTGGTCCCTTCAAAGAGCTCCAACAGATATTTAGATTCATGATTCCTCTCTGCAAAAACTGTGCTGTCTCTTCCCCAGTATATCATATTTAATCATGTGCCCTTAATTTGGTTCTTCAAAACAGTTTCTACTCAATTGCCTGGCACAGACATTAGGCCTACAGGTAATGACAAATGCTTACCCCATGGATTATCACGGGTTTTGTGAAGTACAAGGTAGCAGGCACAAGAGCTATGATGACCTGTACTGTCCCCCCCAAGCCAGGCAGGCTTGTGAGAGCCAAAATAATTCCCAGATGTCTCAGTATCGCAAGATACAAAGTTAGAGATAATGACCACTTTCTACAGGCTACATCTTCTCTTGGTTTGACTAAAAAAAAATAATGTAGACGGAAAGATTTGATAAGCTTATTTCTCCAGAGAAATGACTGAAGGGGGCAGAAACATACAATTGACAGAGGAGCTTGCATTCAGCAAGCATCCTGACTGCGGGAAGAAAAGACAGAGTACAGCAGAAAGCATCACATAAGCAGCTACACTGTTCAAAGGAAGCGTTGATGTAAAGAAGGTTGACAGAGTCATCTGACCCCCAGCATTCCAAAAAGCACTGTTTTGTGGTGTTAAAAGACATTGTGTTCCAGGGCATGCAGAAGAGGAGGCACTTGTGATAAACCATCCTTTTAACAACACATTAAGATGTACTCCATTCGTTACCTAGTCATAAACTCATATGACATTCACTGAATCTCAGAAACACTGGAACCTGACCAACAATCGTTCAAATCCAATCAGTGCATCTATTTCAAAGTACAATGAACAATTCATCAGTTAATCTTTCTGGACTACATTTCCAAATTTAAGTATAAAAAATTTCAGTGTGATTATTATAACATACTTAGCAGTATATATACTGTTATATAGAAGAGGAATCAGAGTATATCTTGCTTTGGAAATTATGCATTGGAAAATTTATTTTTAGAATTCAAGGTCTGAGTCATTCTGCAACAGTCATGTCCATTTTGCCATAAAACAACCAAATCTGATGATGCTAGAGACCTGCCCATCCGGTATCCCCCCACTGACAGTGATCAACAGCAAGTGCCTAGACGAGACTATAAAACAAAGGCAAATACATGGAGATACTTCCTCTGAATATTCCTACAGGCTGCAATCATTTGCACTCTTATAACTTCCTAAGTTTATTAATTTATATCTGTATACTTGATGGGTTTCATCTTCTAAGAATGTGTCCAGATTTCAAATCCATGTACACTGTTTACTTCTGCAGTGCCCTTTTGTAGCCTGTGTGAAGCAGCAGGTCCTTGTGCCTGTCCCTATCCAACTGATCCTAGTTAACTCCTTAACCTTTAAGAGAAGAAGATAGATTGATTAGCTCTCCACACAATCTTTCCATGCCAGCCACTTCT